GTTAAGAGTCTCATTCATTGCTGCACTGTACCAGGGCTGGTCCACCAACAATCAATGGGGACCAGCTAGCATGAAGTCAATTGCAGGGTAGGGTTTTGCTGGCACTGGTGAATCAGGCTTTGTATTTCACTGTCTGATCCTATTTCCCTGATTCTTGCTGCTCCACTGTGTATAGTTGCCCCTTGTAAAAGTTCAGCTCTCTAGCACTTCCCAGGGCCCTCAGCACTGTCTGGCTTGGGTGAGGGCTAATGGCTGAACGAGTGGCTCTAGGCCAGATGCAGTCTGAGCTGGCTGTCTCTTGGGCATGAAAAGCTGCCTTCTCACAGCGATCCTGTCTGTACTGGAAATACTAATTTCTCAGGTTAGATGGGGTGACACTCCCAGCCCTGCTGTTGGTCCATGCACAAACACACAGGCAGAGAGGAGAAGGCTAGGGGTCACCCCACAAGTGCGTTAACATCTCCTGCAGCACATTTGCAAGGCAACACATCATTGGACTTTTATAATACGGAGTCTACACTGATCGCTTGTTGCTGTAGTCAGAAAAACAAGTCTTCCAAGCCCATGAATGGCACAGAATAGCCTAATTGGACCCATGAAGCTGATGATTTTCTCTGGAGAGTGCCACAAAGGACACCTGACAAGATAACCTATTGCTTCATCCCCATGGATAGAACATGTGCAAATAGAAAACCATCCTGCTCTGGCCCCCCAAAGGGATAGGATAGGACTCACGCTTTCACAGCACCTCAGGATTTCTTATCTAGAAGGGGTTTGTGTCCTGTTCTACAGGACAGCCTGTTCCTTTGTTACCTCTGTGATGACACTGGTGGGACAGCCGTCTCAGGAGCCATGATATTACTAATTACCTGCAGGATGCAGCCTGAAACCTACCAGCAGCAGCACCATTCACTGGGGATTTGAGTTCATTTACTCTAATTCCACCCCTAAATTGACACTCAAATTCTGATTTAATTACGTAGGTCAGAAAGCTGTAGTCACCTTGGAAACACAAGGGTATTAAGCAGACAGACAGCGCCTCAGCATCCTCCTCTATTAAGTCATTCCTCTCGATACAGGGAGGAGGCTTGAATTGTCAGCCTGAGGAAGATGCTTGTGGAATAAGATTAGGAAAAACCTCACTGTATTAATCTCTGTAATTCCAGCGTTTCCCTGAGACAGGCATGGGTGAAATAGCTCAGGAAAAGTCACCCCATTGTCCAAGATAGTGTACAGCCACACAGCAAAGCATCTGACCATTCAAAGAAACCAAGGCAGACAGGGTAGGAGAAAGGATCAAAAGTCCTGTTTTCCAGATAGGAAACCTTTAAATGTAGGTAGATAAAACCACCTGCCCTCCATAACCAGGTATGTCTGTGGCAATGCTGGGACTGAGCCCACCTCAGGCCTGCCCCATACCAACACCCAATCCAACAAACCCAGCCTTGCTGCCTGCAGAGAACTTGAGCACAAATCCTTGTACACTTAAACCTGTAAAAGAGAGGGGCTGGTGGGGAATCTATTTTGGGCCAGTTTTATTGGAAAACGAGGCACATCCTTTTATACACATGTTCCCATTGAGCAAGCATGCTATAGCAAGGGGTTGTTACAGAGGTGTAAGTGTCTCAGTCAGAGATAAGGATTGATTGCCCCATGCACGGGGACTCTCAATGGCTCTTATGAAGCTAGGTATGCAGTTTTCCTTCCTTGAGCTGTTCACCTTGGTGGAAGGTGGAGCCTCAGCCATACACTGATCTCTCTGTACAACCAGTCCCCCACTCTGAAGAGATATTTCTGGCAGTTCCTGCATTCAGGGCAGCCTAGTTTCCACAGAACAAGGCCAGACCATTGAGAAGAACACAAGCAGCCAAAAATCCCCAACCCCAGAGGTTTGCAGGCTGCTTTTCAGGATCAGTAGCAGCACGAGGGGCTGGTACACAGCCAGGCCTGGGAAGGGAACACCCAGGGAAAACATGCTCCCATTGTCCCTGCTAAATTGTCACGATAGGATCTGGGGGACAACTCCAGCACCCTGCTGAGGAAGCCTCACTCCCTGACAGATACAGGTCTGCTACATCAGGGAGTACCATTATTGCCACTGATCCCTACCCCCGTAGCCAGCAGCCTCTTCCGCTGTATGAATTAGGGTTCCAAACCCTCCATGGACATAGAGCTCTGGGGCTACATGCCCAGACTTGGGCCTGTCTCAGCCTGGGCCATTGCTTCCTTTTCCACAGGGAGTAGATGAGGGAAGCCCTCCTTCCCCTTTGCATCCCAGCCCAGGGACCTTATGTAGAAAGGACTGCTCCTTTCCATGCCTCCCCAGTCCCTTTGGATGCTGCATACCTTTCCTGCTCGACTTCCCTTCTCCTAACCTTGCTCTTCCCATAGACCTTTTCAGGCCATTGATACACAACAGCTATCAAAAGGAGATAGTCTTCTGCAGCATTTTATATCAGCTGATGCTAACCAGTCACTTGGGGACAGCTGGGGGTGCTAGTGAGACCCTTTGTTAACCTTTTCTGTGCTGCAGCTATGGAGGATGTACATGGCAACAGGTTTCTACCCAGGGTGCCCTGTCACTCACCAAGATACCCGGGTGTTAGTAGTGCACAAACGCAGAGGAATGGTCCCTGCCTCCCAGGATCCAGTTAGGCACAAGGCAGGAATTGAGCCCTATGTTAAGACCCTGGGAACTGAAGGACACTGAGCCTGTTTGCATGAGTGAGATTTGGCCCATCCCCTTATAATTTCATGGCGGGAGGTACGCAGAAAGGGATGCTTTGCTGCAGCTCATTTATAATGAGCAACATGCTCCAGCAAACCCAGAAGTGCAGGTGGCAGGCAATTTTTGGGAAAAAAAATAGGTCAACGCTTGCTACACAGGGGACAGAACCAGAACTTGGCTACTGTGGGTGCCCCTGGGGAAGTCATTTAACTCCAATGCCTGGGCTTCCCTTGCTTTAAAATATCTCCTCACCTTTGTAAAGTGCTGGGTGATCTAGGGACAGGCCCAGAGACAAGCACTGAGGCCCAGAGCCAGGATGGTTGTCATGTTTCTGTCCTTCCAGACCCAGTCAACAGCCCCTTTCTGACTAGCTGTGCTCAAAGTCCAGCCTTTAAGTCCCTTCAGCACTGGCCTGCCAGCTTGTGGCAATACCTAACACATTTCCCAGGCTCTGTTGTTCTGAAGTACGGCCATTCTTCCTGTGTCCATTATTGTTCCCCAGACAAAATATCCTGTTTATATTAATTTTCCTAGCTATTATTAACAAAGCTGGCATTCCTCAGAGCTCTGTTGGCAGCTTTATGGCCTTTGATATATCTACAGCACATCTCGGGTTTATGGCAATGAAGTATGTAAGACAATGCTTGCATAAGGGGAAGTGTACAGCTCTGACAGGGATTCTGAGATAATCTGTGTTTTGCCCTGTTAGGCTGCAGGGAGGACTTTTTTTTGTGCCCATCACTAGCTGAGGAACTCCCAGAAGTACCTGCAACGCAGGTTGCAAACTGAAAAGATGAGCCCCATGTGAAACCAGAGCCAGGCACTTCTAAGAAAGCAGAAGGAGACTGCCATGCCAAACTCATCCCTTTTTTACAGTATTTCTTCAGAAGAGCTCCACCCTGCTGATAATTTATGCACTTTCTTAACCTTTGCTGCTTCTCCAGATGCAAAGTGCATGATCAGAGGAAATTCACAGTGTCTGGAGAATTAAGAACACCACCCAGGAAATGCTGCAAGTAATGACTTCATTCAGAAAAAGGTTGATCACACATTTCAGCTCAGCCCCTGGCCCATGCCCTGCCCTTGACCAGTGCTGCCACCACCACCAGCACTTCTGCTGCCCAGTGGGGTCAGGCCAACTCTCAGGATCTCAATATTGCACTTTTAGACAGGAAGGTGCGACACAATTGCACATATACAAACACACAAATCAATTAGGTGCATACACACACACTACCAGCTCAGGCACATACACATCCAAACCAGCCTAGGCACATGCATACCTATCACCAATTCAAGCACATACACTGTACAAAAGTTAGACCCAGATAACTAATTCGTATATCATGCACACAATGACATGTGTCATATATACATACACACACGTATACACACACACACACACAACCCACCTACACATACACACAGGTAAGTTCCTAACTTGGACAGTACAGTGTGTGTGTGTGTGTGTGTGTGTGTGTGTGTGTGTGTGTGTGTGTGTGTGTGTGTGTGTGTGTGCGCGCGCGCGCGCGGTGGGGGAG